TCAGTCGCAATAAAATGACGAGTATGGTAGCTGTGTTATGTCTGCAAACCAAATTATCTGTTTTTTTAAATTCAACCTGTTTAATTTATGTTACTCTTTCTTGTTTCAGGCAATGGAACATCTCAGTGCATTTATTGCAGACTGTGATCGTCGCACGGAACTAGCGAAAAAGAGACTGGCTGAGACTCAAGAAGAATTAAGTGCTGAAGCTGAATCAAAGGTAAAGCTTCTAATAATATACGTCCCAAGTTTTATTGTCATGTAAATGTCGATGCATTTGTTATTACCAAACTGTAGTAGGTAAATGTTTAGCCACTGCTCAGACACATTATGAAGTTATCAGTAATATGGATATAAAAATACAAATATTTTTTTCATTTCCTAAATAGTGATACCTGTCTCCCCTGGTCTTAGCACAAACACTGATTTAAATGTAACTTTGAAAAGTCATCTTGTCTGAAACAGTACATTATATCACATGTGATGTTTTATAGCTACCCAATCGCTATATTGTGTCAGATTTGATAGGGGTCCCATGCCACAAATAAGTATGACTAATATTTGAAAGTAAAACACTGGGCAGTGTAGGAAAGATGGCTTAAAGAGTCAAATGTCCAAACACAGCAGTTGTTTATTGTGACAATGAAATACTGTGCTCGTCCGACTTGGCGTCCATGCTTGACAATGCACCCATCTTTTCTGAAACATCACAAATTAAACCATCAAGTCATTTAACATTGCTTTACCTTTCTGAATAATTAGCGTTTATTGTCACTATCGTGAATGGGGAGTGAACAGGTAAATTACAATTCAACATGACTGTTTATGGTGGTGAAAAGTGTAAAATGCTTTTTCCACACTCAGTTTACCTTTCAAAAATTATAAATCAAACATGTTTTCGGCTGTTGCCATTGTAGGACATGAACGTGAAACATGAAGCTAAAAATTAACTAAAACTGGGGCCCCATTCACAAAGTTTGTAAAGAGCATTCAGTCTTCTAAAGTCACTTCATTATTTTACTTGCGAGTCTTTTGCTGTTATTGTTATAACATTCACCCTGAAGTTAACCCTTTAATCTAGATTTTGATAAGATGACAAACGTTTTATTTCCAACCGTTTCACAACTGTATTTTCTCAATTCTCTGAACGCAGCATTTGTAGCTCATTCAAAGTTGCATTAGGGGTTATGTTGATATAGTGTAATTGTATCGGTGCTGACGGTCTCTCGTTGGTGCACAACTTGGCCAAAATAAAAAGCATGATCATTTAAACACTATTACAAAACTGGTAGGGAGTGATAAATTTGCCCTGAAAGCATTCAAAAATCAGATTTTTCGGTCATTGCCATGTCAATTTTAATGGGCTTCAAGGCAATGGCCTCAGTCTTGACAAATTATTTGACTCTGTGTGTATAACATTACTTCGGTTAAAAGCATAAATGATATTTGACAGGCACAAGCTGTGCAGACCTTGGCTGAGGAAATTGGTAAGAAGTTAGCTGAAGCTGAAGTGCTGGGAGCAGAGGGAAACGTGGAAGAATCCATGAAGAAACTCAGTGAAATGGAAGAGTGTCGTAAAAAGAAGCTGGATGCAGAGGTTAGCTGAAAGATATTTCCACTTCTTTTCCTTTGTGTGTTTACATGTACATCTACTTGAACCTCGCATTTATATTTTGTATTTAAAGTATGTTGTCAGAAGTTTGAATGTTTTAAATACAGCAGAGAATGATTAAACCCTTTTTACTCTATAAATGTAATTTAACTGTTGTATTATACATCGTTTTTTTTTATAGGAAGATTATCGTAACTCCATGCCTGCATCTAGCTTTCAACAGCAGAAGTTGCGTGTATGTGATGTATGTTCTGCCTACCTTGGACTGCATGATAATGACAGGCGTTTAGCCGATCATTTTGGTGGTAAATTGCATCTAGGATTTATCTCTATCAGAGATAAGTTGGATGGTTTGAAGGTGAGTGTACATTGATTCCTGTACGAGTGAGATTAAATGTAATTTAAATGCAAATTGTATTAAATTTCTCACTGTTTCTCAACCTTTTAACTGCCAAATCCCAGTAAACCAGGAACACTAGAGGGCGCCATCATTTCCTGGTATACGGGTCTGTGAAGGTCCTTGTTGTGATTATTACCCTAAAATCACTGCTTTGGCGCCATTTTTGCAGCAATTTTTTGCCGTAAGATGGTCTGTCACATGTGCAGATGTTTAGTTTTCATTGGCCGCCATATTGGATATCCAGAATATTTTTTTACAGAGTGGAATTTTCAACTGCCGTTGCGTTAGATATTAAAACAAAATGTTCGAAAGTATAAATGTATGCAAATTATATGCATTATATTTGCTAATTAGGCTGCCCACCAGCTAATTTGGTTTGTGAAGAACTCAGAATCATGGAATGATACGAGTTTATTAGTACGAAAACGGGGACTTGTGTTTTGACCTCAGTGTGTCCGTCTGTGTGTGCGTCCGGATCTGTATCTTAGAAATGCCTGGACCAATCACAATCAAACTTAACACATACATCATACATGATATTATACATATGCACGTGAATTTGTTTCACTGTCTAATTCAAGATGGCCGAATCAAGCATTTCTCGGCTTTTTACAGATGGATTTTGTTCAAACTGGTATATACATTAGACATTATAGGACCTTGTTTTACTTTTATTTTAGAAAAGTGTAGCTGAGAAGCGAGAAGCCAGAGAAGCAGAAAGGGCAAAAAGACGCGAAGAACGCGAGCTCGAAAGGGAAAAAGAACGTCAGAAACGAAAGAAAGATCATGAAGACAAATACAGATCCCGAAGGTAGGTTATGGAATCTTGTATATCACAATTCAGCACTGTGAATTCTAAAGAGTACAAGAAATAGCTGTGACACTCATTTATGAATTCAAATGCAAACTTTATCTTCTTTGCCATAGTAGCATAAAGAAATTTGATCTCATTTGCTGATGTTAGTAACATTTTGTATAATTGCAGGTCAAAATCAAAATCCAGAGAAAGACGACGAAGATCACGATCCAGGTCAGTTTCTGAAATTGTCATGACATTAATCTGGAAAAAAACAAGTTACTGCCAAATTATTCAAATTTCGGCATCAGTTTTGGAACATTTTGATCTTTCCTGATGACTAAATTTGTGTAGTTTAGGTTTTTCACTGACACCTATTCAAGAATACTTTTTGTGACTGGCGTGGAAAATAGGCAATCTAAAAAAGAAAAAAAACCATGTCATGGAATTCCAGGTAAAATCCCTTGCACACAAAGTATAGGTTGTCTTGATGTGGATAGTCTTCACACTTTTGTACTGCAATGTCTGATTGCCTGGCATGTCGAAACAGAGTGATATTTCACGCATATTATGGATGTCGAAAAGTGGGTACTTATTTTTATGTCGAAGTCTAATGATGCAACTACAAAACAGCATGATTTTCTCTGCACGGTCTGGTGGCAATCATGCTCTCATAACCCCAATAAATGCTATTAGCTACTCTGAATACTGAAGTTTAAGCTTTACAAATATATTTATTTATTATAGGTCAAAATCTCGAGATAGGAGACGAAGATCACGATCAAGGTCAGTTATTTATTATCATTAGCAATTCATTCGTTTTGGAAACTGCTGTTCCAATTGCTTTGATACTTGGTATATGTACCTCTTTTAGATTTGAATATTTTGTGATATCTTCAATTCTGTATTTTAGTCCCCATTCGGACCTGTATCTTAGACATGCCTGGACTTATTAGTCCCCGTTCGGACGAAGTCCGAAAACAGGGACTTATAATTCAGTCTCCGTCCAGCCGTCCGTCCGTCTGTGCGTTCGTCCGGAGTCGTATCTCAGAATCCCTTGGACCGATTCCGTTCATTCTTTGCATGTGCCTAGTACTTTATATGGGACATGTGCATATGCAGTCGTTTAGCGATTCATTCAAAATGGCCGACTGGCAGCCATCTTGTTTTTTGAAAATGTTGTATTTTGGACATGCTTTGTCAGTTTTCATTCAAACTTGGTACATAGATTATACATGTTAGGATACATGTCCATGACGATTTATTTCGCAATTGGATCAAAGATGGTCGACTGGCAGGCATCTTGTTTTTTTGTTTTTTTATGTGGTATCTTGGGTGTGCTCTGTCAGTGTTCATTCAAATTTGGCACATACATGTACTTTATACATGTTAGGATGCATGTCCATGACAATTTGTTTCAAAATCTGGTCAAGGATGGCCGATTGACAGCCATCTGACTTTTTGGCCTTACTGCTATATTTCCACAATTTATGTACCATTTTCATCCATATGTTACACATGTAGTTCAAGTCGTTGAATATATGTTGCAATTTGAAATGTACGCTGACGGGTCGAGTATGTCAAACACGTTTTCCCCCGTACATGTCCCAAATATCCCCATACTCGAGCGTTTTTTTTCTTCTTACTTCGAACTTGCATTCATGTAGTGATCTTGTACTTGCTTGTAATGTGTTTTCAATTAAGCAATATTTATTTCAATGTTTAACACGTGTTTATTGAGACTGTACAAAGGGCAAAACATCGTTACTTAACGACAGTAAAAAATGTGTATTGAAATAAAACGGTGATTTTTTTGTTGTCCATGGTGGTAACTGAAGTGTGTATGCAAACAGATTGCAAAAAATGTGAAAACTGTGGTCGATACAGTCTGTTAACTATGGCCTATTTTTGCAAAAATGTCTGGCAGGATAGCATGCACAGATGCTGGCTACTGGAGTGCATTGAATCATGATCGTTTTTCACCGACCTAACCTGATAGCGTGAAACTCCCCTGACCGGAAAAGGGTTAAAGAAACCTGCTAAATTTGGACCGAATGAGCAATACTTCGGTTTTTAAGATGTTGGGTTTGTGCTAGTTTTGTCATCCATTCCTTGATATCATAGACATAGGCCTCAATTACATTACCCCCGGTATTTCATTTTGTGATATTTGGGAAACAATCCTACAACTGGAGTTGATGAATCCAAAACTTAGGCACTATTACACTTATCCTTAGAAGATCTAAACACAGAATTTGATTTATTTGTCTGATCTAAATGACCTCATGCATATTCATGTGGAGATGACGCAACTCAAATCATTGCTATTGGCTGCTCTGAGTGCTGAAGTTTAAGCCCTACAAATGTATTTATTACAGATCAAAATCTCGCGATAGGCGACGAAGATCACGATCCAGGTCAGTTGATGAACTTATTATCATTAACCAGAAAAAGAAATGACTATTCAATAGGTTGTGCAGTTCAACTGAATAGTTGTACTTTTATATGAATGAGATTACAATAACAATACATTTGTAGCTTGATCAAAATATGACTGGGTTTTAATTTTATTTCAAAAATTATAAATTACCATATCAGGTTTTTATGTCTTGTCACACGATAATATAAATCTAATGAAGTAAATTCATTTCAAAGAAAAGCCCCCACATTTAACAATGTGTAATTCTGATGGTGGTGATTTATACTAACAATGAATATCTCAGTTGATTTAAAGTGCCTGTGAAATGGCTATTTTCACGCCTAAAATTATCCATTGATATATAAATATTATTGGTTTCTAAGCATGAATTGTTATTTTTAAGTGAAAAAATGAGTTTTAAACTCAGTCTACGGCAACTTTATTTTTGTGTATTTTAAAACGAGGCTCCTCATTAGCTTCTCATTTGCATACAGAAATTTCCCTTGTAACGTCAGAAGGGGAAGTTGCATGGCAGCTTGCATTGCCGATACGTGTAAATAAGGCAAATTTCTTGTACAGTTTTCTCATCTTTGACTAAATTGTCACTTATGTACTTGTTCGTCGAGGAAGAATGAACCATAATGAACACCTAGTATCAATTTTTGTTGCATGGGGTTGAGTTAGATGTGAAATATGTCCGTTCTGGTGTAGCTGGTCACCGTGATCGTCACCGACATCGGCGCATGTTTGTACACTGTGGCTGGACAAAATAGGTTACTAGGCACGTCACTACATTGATTTATTTCATCGATCGTCTGAGTAAAACTTTCAAAATTAAAATAAAAGAGAACATATTTTGACATTCTAAACATTAGACTATAGTGATAACTATAAAACAATTAAAAAAATCGACGAATGACAAATCAGTTACTAAATAAATGACAGCCGCGTGGAAATTTTTGACATTTTGTTGAAATGGGTGAACGCGTCGGGTCACGACAAGGGCAAGTGCGTTAAAAGCGACGTTTAATTGATAACAAAAATAATCGAGATCGACACACATACAAATAAATTCAGAGTGGATTCGAGTTAGCGTGATCCATGGTGTGATTGTCATAATTATATCATATTAAAACTTTATTTGGTGGAAACACATTGACCAAGCCCAGATTCTTACTTCATAAATTATTACGCAGATCAAGCTGCAAGCATGGAGGTAAAAAAAGAACAGAGGTGTGAATTCGACATTCAACACCAATCACCAAACAACTCAGAAACTTTTAGCCTTCGAAAATGAAAACAATTAGCAGTGTGTAAGGGCTGTGTAATTTCCTGTTTGTCCGTCGCTTCGTTTTCATGTCACTGTCAAATTATTGCTACCTTTTACTTAACAGGGACTAAATGGTTTCTATAAAACGATACTCGGAAACGCAAAAATGTCAACTCATTTGAAACACTTGCCAGACGTCTCTCTCTCTCTTCTGAAATCCGCCTCGGTGATCATGGGCTGGTCCGGAATCTATTTCTTTCAAAAGTGTTGCGCCAGGTTTACGTTGTCGGCGTTTCTCTTTAAATCTAGTTTTGTTACCTTGCCCGTACCATCAAAGATGGAAGGGAAAGGTATATTAAGGGAAAGATTTTTTCCGGCGTGTCGTCGTTGTCGTCGTCGTTAATGATTGTTATTGTGTGCATGATAACTTTACTAATTCTATTCCAAACTTCATCAAACTTGGTCACATTGTTCATCAGTATAAAGTCTTCCCTGAGTTTGAACAACAGATGTCCTGTATGAAAATATCATGCAAAATTTGAGAAAAACTGATAAAATATTTCGACTGTTTCTACTTGACTGATCACTGGTGATACACATCAAAGGTCACTGATCTCAGTGGAAATATGCATTGTTGTATGTGTTCAATGAAGCAAATGATTTATCTTGTAATAATATCCTTGGTAATGTATCTCAGAATCCCTTACTGGGTTTCAAAACCAACTCATGGAGAGATTGCACAGTCTGATACACATTTGCAAACCTACCAATAAATCTTTACAGAAAACAAGATGTCAGAAAATCAATATAAGCACTCCTATGAACTGGGTGCCAAACTTTGATCAAGATCTGAAGCTAATAGAAAATCTGTTTAGTTCAAAGTTATCAAATCAAAAACAATACATAAAAAATACATAAAAAGCAAAACATTTCATCCTCATTTTAAAAAGAAAATTGTTCTAAAATATATGTATTCTGTATTTGACAAACAGTTCATTCGACAAATGAAAACTCACAGGAATATGTTTCAGCTATTAGAACAGAATGATAGAGTTTTTATAATACTAGTTTAAAAACTCACTTCAAACAAAGATTGCAGTGTTTGCAGATGTAGGTTCTCAGGAGGCAACAGTACCGTTAAAGTCCTAATATAAACCGCATACGTAATAGTAACCGCACCCCCAATTCCGGCTTCGGGGTTAAAGAGTTCTTAACAAAAATTGAAAAATTGAAAAGTACCTATTACTAACCGCACCCCCAATTCAACAAGACCGTGACTGACTTCATTGTTTCAACCAGC